TTAAATTAAACCCATCAACTAGGTAACCGTGTTTAAATGGTTTTAAATAGGTTTGAAATGAGAGATGAGAGATCGAAATTCAATCCCAAAAGATTAAATGATACATTTATTAAAGTAACTAATGTCACTAGCTGAAAAAAACAGGTGCAACTGTGTTTAAATATTCTTTTTTCTTAAATTAAACCCATCAACTAGACAACCGTGTTTAAATGTTTTTAAACAGATTTGAAATGAGAGATGGGCATCGAAATTTAGTCCCAAAAGATTAAATGATATATTTATTAAAGTAACTAACGTCACTAGTTGAAAAAAATAGGTGCAATCGTGTTTAAATACTCTTTTCTCTTAAATTAAACCCATCAACTAGGCAACCATGTTTAAACGTTTTTAAACAGATTTGAAATGAGAGATGGGGATCGAAATTCAATCCCAAAAGATTAAATAATACATTTATTAAAGTAACTAATGTCACTAGTTGAAAAAAACAGGTGCAACCGTGTTTAAGTATTCTTTTCTCTTAAATTAAACCCACCAACTAGGCAACCGTGTTTAAGTGTTTTTAAACAAATTTGAAATGAGAGATGGAGATCGAAATTCAGTCCTAAAAGATTGAATGATACATTTATTAAAGCAACTAACGTCACTAGTTGAAAAAAACAGGTGCAGCAGTGTTTAAATATTCTTTTCTCTTAAATTAAACCCATCAACTAGGCAACCGTGTTTAAATGTTTTTAAACAATTGAAATGAGAGATGGGGATCGAAATTTTGTCCCAAAAGATTAAATGATAAATTTATTAAAGTAAATGATATCACTAGTTGAAAAAAAAAAATAGGTGCAATCGTGTTTAAATATTCTTTTCTTTTAAATTAAACCCATCAACTAGGCAACCATGTTTAAATGTTTTTAAACAGATTTGAAATGAGAGATGGGGATCGAAATTCAGTCCCAAAAGATTAAATGATACATTTATTAAAGTAACTAATGTCACTAGTTGAAAAAAACAGATGCAACCGTGTTTAAATATTCTTTTCTCTTAAATTAAACCCATCAACTAGGCAACCGTGTTTAAATGTTTTTAAACAGATTTGAAATGAGAGATGTGGATCAAAATTCAATCCCAAAAGATTAAATGATAAATTTATTAAAGTAAATGATATCACTAGTTGAAAAAGAAAAACAGGTGCAACCGTGTTTAAATATTCTTTTCTCTTAAATTAAATCACTAAACGTCCTAAAGAGAGTGATTGATCCACGTCTCAACTCAAACTCCTTATATTTTCGATGACATCTTTCTACTTTTCATTTTCAACTTTAATTAATTGTTTTTTTGCTATTCTTTTGGTTATTTTCTTTTCTATTTATTTTTTACGACGAACAACAATTTTAGGTCGTTTCATTATTTCCTTCACAATGTCTTGCAATAGTTCAATGCTCTCCTTCTTTACATTCTTTGTTGGGATTCCAAGTTTTTCATGGTATATAAACCTTCTTCTCTGAATAAATTTGGTATGGAATGGCGATTCACACTCAGCTACCAAATTGTGTGGAAGAGCGAATTTAGCAGACAACACCAGGCAACTTTAATGCTCCAGCCTTCAGGTGATATTCAATTGCAATTATTCATTTTGAAATTGGTAAGGTTATTAATGCAATTATATTATTATATCTGGTCTGTTACAAAGGATGAAGAAGCATTTATAAGAGTCTTTCTTCAGCATGAAATTTTGATATTAGATGAAACTATTTTCTTCTTGGCAAGCTATTTGATTACCTACAGGTTTATGTAAGCAATAGCAGAGGAAGGAATACAAATGTGGTTGACATGGAGATGAAAGAGTTTTTCTATAAACTCAATTATTTGAGAAATGTGGAAATCACATATTTGAGATGCTTCCAATGTGGGGGATTGTGATATCCTTGTATATTAGTTTTGGTGATTAGACTAAGGGTGCTTAATTGAGATTTTGCATAGCATTTCTATTATACCATAAGGTATAATGGTGCTTAACAAAGCAAATGTGATATGCACTCCTATTATACAATAAGGTATAATGGTGCTTAACAAAGCAAATGTGATATGCACTTCTATTATACAATAAGGTATAATGGTGCTTAACAAAGCAAATGTGATATGCACTTCTATTATACAATAAGGTATAATGGTGCTTAACAAAGTAAATGTGATATGCACTCCTATTATACAATTATGGTATAATGGTGTCTGATGAAAAAGGATAAGGCACTTTACTTGAATAGAAGGGATATGCTACCATGGACATTCCTATTGTACAACGAGGTACAATGGTGTTTGAGTTAAAAAATTCTTAAATACATGTCTCTACATGTATAGAAAAAAAATGGTGGTTCACTAACTGAATTTGATATCAAAATTATGGTACCATGAATTGGGAATTTGAGAAATATGAATGTGAATTTTATGAGCTAGCAAACATGTGGGTTGATGTGAAAAAGTGAGAATAAGAATGAGTTAAATCTCTTCGTTACCCACTATACCACCAACTAGGCCTTTGGCAAAAACAAAAGTTGGAGGAAAATCTATGATCATAGTCGAAGGTCTAATGCTCACCAAGGGGAATGGGATTCAAGCCTAAAAATGTAGAACTTCCTATGAGGATACCCAACCCAAATTCTAAGAATTGGGTTTCGAATGGGAAAAACGAATCATAGAAAAGTCGTTGTTGAAAGATGCATCAATATTTAACGGAAAAAATCTTCGGTCCCATTCCTAAGGTGAGGATGCATCGATCCCATAACGAATTGAGGGTTGAGTTTTATACTCTTAATGAAATTTGTAGCTCATAGAGTGGGCTATCTTAGTTATGGGAGCATCCTTGACAAATTTCACCTATATAGATGTCGGAGTAGGGCCGCTCTTATGAGAATAGGGCTATTCTCTAGATCATCCATAAATACTAGGATTAGGCACAAAGGCTGTAATGTGCCGGCTTACCAAGCTCAAATTAACACCTGGATTATAATGTGTGTGATATGGTCTCCTATATCCTCTTAGTAGTCTTAGTTCAAGACTTTGCTCACTAATGACTTTGGGATAAGAATCATTGACTCACTAAGTAGAGGTTCAAGGCATTGCTACCTCTATTATGCATGGTAGTCCATCCTTGCCTATATATTTTTCAACTTCTAAATTTCTTTTATTTTTAATTAAAATGAAGGGGGAATGTTGGAGATTTTAATTAAAAGTTACAAATCAATTATTTTCAAAATTAATTCTAGCCGATTACGAATCCATTGTTTTAAAATTAAAAAAAAAAAAATTCAAACTTGTGTCAGTTACCCATGCCTTCTTGTTTTCAAATGGATTCATGCGTTTCTGTTTTTTTTTTTTTTAAATGGATTTAAATCAATACATCATTACATCAGTTTCATATCTCGTTTGGTAACAAAAAACATTATTGCATTTATCTGCATCAGTTTCAAATCTTTTTGATAACCGAATTCATTTCAAATTTTAACATTTTGTCTACTTCAATTACATTGTGAAGCCCTATAAAAAGGCAACCTAAAAATATCTACAAAAGGTTGATACAATTTTATGATCTGCACTCTTATTTCACAAACACAATATACAAACTCTCTTTAGACAAGGAAAAGGTGATGGGGTAGAGCTTTTTTTACAAGAGTGCAGTACTTGTAAAGATACAACAAAGAGGTTGGGCTATTGTATCTTGGGGGCGGCGTGACCATAAAAATCTACTACACCAGTGGCACGAAACATCCTAAAGAGAGTGATTGATCCACGCCTCAACTCAAACTCCTCATATTTTCGGTAACATCTTTCTACTCTTCATTTTCATCTTTAATTAATTGTTTTTTGCTATTCTTTTGGCTATTTTCTTTTCTATTTATTTTTTACAAGGAACAACAAGAAGTACGAAAACTAAATGGGGGCACCGCTGCTGCAACAAGTTGAGGGTGAATGGAGGCCTCTGGTCTCCTGAAGGAAATGAAAAGCTTTTCAAATATATAGCATTGAACATGCCATAGTAGTTGGAGTAGGTTTTTCTTGCAAACAAAGCTAAGCACTTTTAACCAGTGTTATCAATTCCGTTTTGTATCGACTATACGTACCGGTTTTTATATTAACCGAAACGATATAGAATGCAATTTTATTTCGGTACATCAAAATTTCAGCCAGTGTAAACTGTCCAAATAAAATAAAATAAAATAAAAAAAACCTCCCATTTTCCAATGGTTGTTGAACCCCTTGCTTTGGTCTGCTTTGTCTTCTCCCCTTTTCTGGTGGCTGCCGAACCTGGCCGGTACATCAAAATTTCGGCC